GACCACGGACCTGTTTTCGACACCGTCACGTATCGTGTGGAGCTCAGAGAAGGAACCCCCCCCAACACCAGGTTCTTACAGGTGCGAGCCATGACCCGGGACCACACTTCGGTGAAGTACCGACTGCGAGCGGACGCAGATGCTCATGGGTTCGCGATCGCGGCCGACAGCGGGTGGTTGTTTGTGAAAAGCACCATCGACCGAGAAGCTAAGGATATGTACGTGCTAACGGTGACGGCGAGCGAAGCAGACGGACAGAAGACGGGCAGCGCCACGGTGAGGATCTCTGTGACGGATGAAAACGATAATTCCCCAAAGTTCTCTCAGGACAGAGTCTTCTTGGCGGTGAGAGAGAACCTCCCGGCGGGGACTGGGTTCGGTCACGTGGCCGCCACGGATCGGGACGCAGGAGCTAACGGCCGTGTTAGCTACCGCCTCATGCATCCGGAAAGAATGTTCCAGATCAACCCTCACACAGGTTAGGCCCCTCCCCCTGGATCTCTCTGTAGAACAGTGTTTGTGTAAAATATAGGTCCCAGACCCGGACCCGGACCCAGGCCCAGGCCCAGAACCAGACCCGGACCCAGACCCGGACCCAGACCCAGAACCAGACCCCAGACCCAGAACCAGACCCCAGGCCCAGACCCAGACCCAGACCCAGACCCAGACCCAGGCCCAGAACCAGACCCCAGGCCCAGAACCAGACCCAGACCCAGACCCAGGCCCAGACCCAGGCCCAGACCCAGACCCAGACCCAGAACCAGACCCCAGGCCCAGAACCAGACCCAGACCCAGACCCAGGCCCAGGCCCAGACCCAGAACCAGACCCCAGGCCCAGAACCAGACCCAGACCCAGACCCAGGCCCAGACCCAGAACCAGACCCCAGGCCCAGACCCAGACCCAGACCCAGAACCAGACCCCAGGCCCAGAACCAGAACCAGACCCAGACCCAGGCCCAGACCCAGAACCAGACCCCAGGCCCAGAACCAGACCCAGACCCAGACCCAGACCCAGACCCAGACCCAGACCCAGACCCAGACCCAGAACCAGACCCAGGCCCAGAACCAGACCCAGACCCAGACCCAGACCCAGACCCAGACCCAGACCCAGACCCAGACCCAGAACCAGACCCAGGCCCAGAACCAGACCCAGACCCAGAACCAGACCCAGACCCAGGCCCAGAACCAGACCCAGACCCAGACCCAGACCCAGACCCAGACCCCAGACCCAGAACCAGACCCAGACCCAGGCCCAGAACCAGACCCAGACCCAGACCCAGACCCAGACCCAGACCCAGACCCAGCCCAGACCCAGACCCAGACCCAGACCCAGACCCCAGACCCAGAACCAGACCCAGACCCAGGCCCAGACCCAGACCCAGACCCAGACCCAGACCCAGAACCAGACCCAGACCCAGGCCCAGAACCAGACCCAGACCCAGACCCAGACCCAGACCCAGACCCAGACCCAGGCCCAGACCCAGAGACCCAGACCCAGACCCAGACCCAGACCCAGACCAGACCAGAACCAGACCCAGACCCAGGCCCAGACCCAGACCCAGACCCAGACCCAGACCCAGACCCAGACCCAGACCCCAGACCCGGACCCAGACCCAGACCCAGACCCAGACCCAGACCCGGACCCGGACCCAGGCCCAGAACCAGACCCAAACCCAGGCCCAGAACCAGACCCAGACCCAGACCCAGACCCAGACCCAGAACCAGACCCGGACCCAGACCCAGAACCAGACCCCAGACCCAGAACCAGACCCCAGGCCCAGACCCAGACCCAGACCCAGACCCAGACCCAGGCCCAGAACCAGACCCCAGGCCCAGAACCAGACCCAGACCCAGAACCAGACCCCAGGCCCAGAACCAGACCCAGACCCAGACCCAGCCCAGGCCCAGACCAGGCCCAGCCCAGACCCAGACCCAGACCAGACCCAGACCCAGACCCCAGACCCAGACCCAGACCCCAGGCCCAGACCAGACCAGCCCAGCCCAGACCCAGACCAGACCCAGGCCCAGACCAGACCCAGACCCCAGACCCCAGGCCCAGAACCCCAACCAGACCCAGAGACCAGAACCAGACCCAGGCCCAGACCAGACCAGACCCAGACCAGACCCAGACCCCCAGACCCCAGACCCAGACCCCAGAACCAGACCCAGAGCCAGACCCAGCCAGACCCAGACCCAGACCCAGACCCCAGACCCAGACCCAGACCAGACCCAGCCAGACCCAGACCCAGACCCAGACCCAGACCCAGACCCAGACCAGACCAGACCCAGACCCCAGACCAGACCCAGACCCAGACCAGACCAGCCCAGACCCAGACCCAGAGACCAGACCCAGACCCAGACCCAGACCCAGACCCAGACCCAGACCCAGACCCAGACCACCGCCAGACCCAGACCCAGACCCAGACCCAGACCCAGACCCAGAAACCCAGACCCAGACCCAGCCAGACCAGACCAGACCCAGACCCAGACCCAGACCCAG